TAGCCTTCCTTTAGAAATATATGTATTTTACCATTTCAGGTAGATGAAGATGAACCCTTATTTCTCAGTCTTATAAACGACCTCTTTCCAGGATTGCAGTTAGATAGTAATACATATGTTGAATTGCAAGCTGCAGTAACTAATCAGGTTGAAGAAGCAGGATTGATTAATCATCCACCTTGGAATCTCAAGCTTGTTCAGGTAAAGCATTCTTTTGGTCAGACTATAGAACATAATTTTTCATCTCAGTCTTCACAGGCAAGGTCAGCTCCCGGAATACTATGTTGGGCAGCACAGTTTGAGGGAGAGGTAATCAGCAAACAGTGGCAAAAGAAGAGGTTAGGAACTATTTAGAAAAGCTGGACATATACAAGTCCATGGGGCTGGATGGGATTCACCCAAGGGTGCTAAAGGAGTTGGCTGATGAAATTGCAGAGCCACTGGACATCATCTTTGAAGATGCATGGCAATCAGGAAAGGTCCCAAATAGTTGGGAAAGGGAAACATAGTGCCCATATTTAAGAAAGGGAAAAAGGAGGATCTGGGGAACTACAGACCAGTCAGCTTCACCTCATCCCCTGGAAAAATCATGGAGCAGATCCTCAAGGAATCCCTTTCTAAGTACTTGGAAGAGAAGAAGGTGATTATGAACAATCAGCATGGACTCACCAAGGGCCTGACCAACCTGATTGCCTTCTATGATGAGATGACTGGCTTTGTGGATATGGGGAGACCAGCCTGTGTGGTATACCTTGTTTTTACCTTTTGATACAGTCTCCCACAGCAGCCTCACAGGCAAACTAAGGGAGTATGGTTTGGATGAATGGACTGTAAGGTGGATAGAAAACTGGCTGAAGCATTGGGCTTAGAGGGTAATAACCAATGACTTGATATCTAGTTGGCAGCTGGTATCAAGTGGAGTGCCCCAGGGGTTGGCTCTGGGGTGGTTTTGTTCAATGTCTTCATCAACAACCTGGAAGATGGCATAGAGTATACCCTCAGCAAGTTTGTAGATGACACCAAGCAAGGGGGGAGTAGTAGATATGCTGGAGGGTAGGGCTAGGATTCAAAGTGACCTAGACAAATTGGAGGATTGGGCCAAAAGAAATCTCATGAAGTTCAATAAGGACAAGTGCACTTAGGACAGAACAATCCCATGCACCAGTAGAAACTGGGCGCTGACTGGCTAAGCAGCAGCTCTGCAGAAAAAGACCTGTGGGTTACAGTGGACAGTAAGCTGAATATGAGCCAACAGTATACCTATGCTGCAAAGAAGGCTAATGGCATACTGGACTGCATTGGTAGGAGTGTTGCCAGCAGGTCAAGGGAAGTGATTATTCCCCTCTATTCAGCACTGGTGAAGCCACATCCGGAGTACTGTGTTCAGTTTTGGGCCCCTCACGACAGAAAGAATGTGGACATTGGAGAAAGTCCAGTGGAGGACAACAAAAATGGTTTGGGGGCTGGGACACATGACTGCTGAGGAGAGAATGAGGGAACTTGGCTTATTTAGTCAAAAGAAGACTGAGAGGGGATTTAATAGCCGCCTTCACTGGCGTGCAAGATGGTTCCAAAGAGGATGGAGCTAGACTATTCTTAGTGGTGGCAGATGACAGAACAATGAGCAATGGTCTCAAGTTGCATCAAAGGAAGTTTAGGTTAGATATTAGGAAGAATTTTCTCACTAGGAAAGTAGTAAAACACTGGAACAGGTTACCCGGAGAGGTGGTGGAATCTCCATCCTTGGAAGGTTTTAAGACCCGGCTAGACAAAGCTTTGGCTGGGATGATCTAGTTGGGGATGGTCCTGCTTTGAGCAGGGGGTTGGACTAAATGACCTTTTGAGGTCCCTTCCAACCCTAATTTCCTATGATTCTGTAATTTGCTGTCAAAATATCTATGTAAATAATCCATTTTAGCACTTAATGTTCCCTTTATTACATAAGTAATAGAATATTCCTCTTTTGATGGAATCCAGGGGTGGCTTATTGTTTTTTCTTGGGGTTCTATGACCAGATTATGCCTTCTCAATTCTCAGTCTGTGGATTCTGACTCTACTAGTTGATAGGGATCTGTCTCTCAAAAATAGTAAGGGATCCTTCCCTGTTTTGCAGAATATATGTTTAAGCACAAAGAGTGCAATAGGAAGCCTGTGCTCATAACAGACTCCCATTTTGGGAGTCTTTCTTCTGCAGTGCAGCATCTCTCTCAGTTCTGAGATGCATGATTCTTCTTTTCTGCCTGCAGTTTCAGAATGATGAGAAGTAGGGGAGCTCTCTGTATAACGTAGCTTTTGCTAATCACATCCCTTTTTTTGGCTTGTCCAGTGAGGAAAGCAGACTCCTGGGAGGAAGGAATCTTGGGTCACTAAGGGTGGTTATGCAAGTAACATTTTTTCATGCGATCGGGCCCCTGAAAGCACTCTACAGCCATGACATGTCACATGTGCATTGCTGCAGAGTGCTTTTAAAATGGCTGAACATGCAAAAAAATAACTCATCAAATCAGGTATTAAATAAAGGCAGAGTGCCTTAGGAACCAGGGTCAATTTTTTGCATAGGGGCATGGCTGTCAGTGGTGGAGTGAGGGGGAAGGGAGCAGCACAGAGCTGCTGACTGGACTTTGCCCAGCCAGAGGTGGAGAGGGAGAGTGGGGTAGAATGGAGCCCCCTTGCTTCATGCCCCCCCTCCCCGCTACTCCAGCTGGGGTATTGGGGGAAGCCAGGCTGGGCCCATGGTGTGAGGGGTCTCCATTCCACCCTGCCCCTCCCCCTCAGCTCCAGCCAGGCCTCCTGAGTGCAGCAGCAACAGGTGCCAGCTACTTTGTCCAGCATGAGCTGGAGAGAGGACACAGATGTAGAACAGAAGTCACTCATCTCATGGGCCCTGCTCAGCTCCCCACAATACTCCAACCAGGGTAGCTGGGGGGGTGGGAAACGAGACCCACGAGGCAAGAGGGTTCTGTTCCACCCTGTCCCCCCGCCCTGCTCTGGCCAGGCAGAGCTCAGCTGGTAGCTCTGTGCTGCTTCCTTCCCTCTACTTCCCCCTTTGACAGCCCTGGAGCCTGGGGTGGGAGGCGGGACTGGGGAGAGAGGTGTTTCAGAAGCTGCTGGAGCACCCCCATTTGCTGGCTGGAACCGGTACAGGGAGGCTTGATTCCCCACAATCCAACAGGTGAATATCTGTTGGGGGCAGGGATGGGGCTCTAACTCATGGCACTTTCTATAAAGTGCCATGAGTTAGAGTGTGGCTGCCTAATGTCTGTAGGTACCCTAAATGTAAGGGATGACTAGGATCACTCTGAATGGAGCACACTAGGCCAGAGGATTACCAAAAGGTAAACCAGGGTCAAGTTGGGTATCTGTCTGAATCCAGGATGTCAGTATGAAGGTCAAGACAAGGTTGTGGTCAGGGAAAGCAATTGATACAAGTTAGAAGGTCCAAGACAGGAATAGAAGAAATCAGGAATAAGCAGGAGGGTCCAAGCTAGAGGTTCAGAACAGGGAATCACAAGCCAGAGGCTCAGAGCACAGAGTTTAGGAGTTTAAAGCAGACCAGAGGCATAACTAGGTAATCTGTTGCCCATGCAGTTCTCTTAACTGGGCCCTGGCTCATTACAATAGACTACAGTGCATAAGATGAACAGTACTACCACCAGCAGTGTTTGTAAGTGAAAATGGCTTTGGAGTGTTTGGTGGTCACGGGCAGACAAGGTTCTTTGGGCAAATGTGATATCTTTTATTAGACCAACTAAATAGTTGCAAAATTTGTTCTTTGCAAGCTTTGAGGCACACACACCCTTTTTCAGGCATAGGGAGAGTCTGTTGTTGTTTTGTGTTCTTCTGGATGGAATAGAAGCCAGTATGCAAAATGCAGGTCTGTGAAAATGCAGATGTGTCAGTGAGCATCAGAGGCCATGGGAAATAATAGCTGCAAGACAGGTGGTGTGGGGAAGGGGAAATATTGAGCTGCTGATAGAATGTAGTTGGTAAAATGCAGAGAGGTTACCTGGGGTTATCGGATGTGCCATAAATAATATCTATTTTTAGTCCATGATTTTTTGTATCCAGTAGATTTATGAAGTGAAGTTCACAGGCTCATCAACAAAAGGTGTTTTGTAAATTCTCTTTGAGGATTAGAACTGAGAGATTGGAGAGAGAGTGGTTGTCTTGTGAGAAGTGTGCACCCCCAGGTAATTGGGAATTTTTGTCTTTGATAGATTTTCAGTGTGTGTTCATTCTGGTACGCAGTTGTTGTTTGGTTTCTCCTGCATATTTTCCATCAGGGCATTTAGTGCATTGGATGAGATGTATTACTTTTCTGGAGGTGCGGGTGTAATATCTAGGAATGGTGATGGATCTATTATGGGATGTAGTTATTGTAGAAGTGGTAGAGATATGTTGGCAGGTTTTACATTTCTTGTCCCAGCATGGTCTGGATCTATTTGGCATGCTTTGGGCCATAGGAAGTTTGCTTCTGGTGATGAGATTGGCAAGGTTTGGTTTAAAGGCTAGGATGGATGGTTCTGGGAAGATCTCTTTAAGAATTAGGTCCTCTTCTAGTATGGGTTGCAATTGTTAGATGATTTTCTGTGTAGGTTCCAGGGAGGGATGGTATGTCATAACTAATGGTATGCAATTTGTGGGGATTTTCTTTTTGAACTGCAACAATTCCTCATGTGGTAGTCGGGTGGCTCTTTCAAAAATGTGTTCTATCTCTCTGGAGGAGTATCCTTGCTGAGTGAAAGCCCTTTTGAGATTTGTGACGTGATGATCACAGGTGTTCTTCTCAGTGCAAATTTGGTGATATCAGAGGACTTTTTCTTGGTGTGTTTAGGATGATTGCTGATTCTGTGCAGATATATATATTGGTCTGTGGGGTTCTTGACTATGGTGGTTTGTATTTTACCATTCTGGATATTGATCATGGTGTCTAAAAAGAAACTATTGGTGCTGGAGTATTCAGGAGATAGTCTGATGGAGTGGGCTGAATTTGTGATGGAAATCAACCAGAGATTGCAGGCTATTGGTCCGAATGATGATGTCATCTATATATCGTAAGTATAGTATGGGTTTGATGCTGCAGTTCTTGAGGAATTCTTCTTCCAGGTGGGCCATAAAAGGTTGGGGTATTGTGGGACCATTTTTGTGCCCATAGCTGTGCCCATGGTCTGGAGGAAGTATTGGTTATTGAAAGTGAAATTGTGTGAGAGGATGAAGTGTATACATTCAAAAATATTTTTAGGTCTTTACTCTGAGTTGTAATCTTACCTTGTAAATATGTATGGCCAGCTTTGATGCCATCCTGGTGTGAGATGTATAAGCTGGTAACATCCATGGTGAGTAGGGGGTTGTTGCTGGGAAGGTGGTCTGTGCTTTTAAGTTTTTGTAGAAGGTCTATTGTTACTTGGACAAAATTTGCTGTTTGGGTAACAAGAGGTTTAGGATGGATTTGATGAAACCTGATATTTCCTCAGTTAGGGTTCTGTGGTTGGATATTATAGGTCTGCCTGGGTTCCCTTGTTTGTGAATTTTAGAGAGCATGTAAAAAGTCCCTAGGTTGGGTAAATGGGCGATCAAATTCTGTAGTTTTTCTTGTAGTTCAGATGGAAATGATGTGATGGTGGTTTTGGGTTTTAAGGTGAAAAGGGGAGTTGAATCTTCCTCTAGTTTTTGTAGTAGGTGGTGTCAAAGAGCTTTCTATCGGCTTCTTTTATGTCATCTTCATGGTTAAGGATAACTATAGCTCCTCCTTTATCTGCTGGTTTTATTACTATTTGGTGGTTAGATCTTAGAGATTCTATGGCCCTTCTCTCTGAGAGGGAAAGGTTGTTATGGTGCCATTTGTTGTTTATTATTTCATTGTTCATTCTTTGTCTGATGCAGCTAATATAGAGGTCAAGGTTTGAATTTTATCCACTATGAGGTTTCCAATCTGATTTTTTTTGTTTTGGGGGGTTAATCTTTTCCTCAATGTTGTCAAAGGATGAAGTGTTGTTTGAAGTGGATTAATTTTGGTTGTGGAAATATTCCTTGAGATGGAGGTGTCAGAAAAATTATTCTAGTTCTCCATATTGTAGTATATTAGGGTATTTTTCTGGACAGAACTTAGCTTGAGAGGGGACAGATTTTTCAGCTTTGGTAAGTGTGTGTATGGAGAGATTGATATAACATTTAAGGGTTGATTGGTTCTTTCAGTTTCATTGAGTATGAGGTTGGAATGTTGTAAGGTGTTGGTGTTGTTTCTCTGATGGTTGTTTTGTGGCTGGGTTACATTTCTTCTTTTTATGTTGGATAAGTTGTTGCAGCATGTGTCCATTTCCTTCTTGAGTTGATCTCTTCTGGAGTAGGTTATGTGAAGGAGATGAATTCTAAGTTTTTTTTGAAGTTCTCTTGGTGGCTACAAGTTGCTGTGCTTTGTACCAAACTCAGTGTTGGCAGTATGGATCAGTTTAGTCCCTCCCCATGGGCACTGTGAATTCCAAGGTGACATAGGTGCCTAAAGGGAGTCCTGAGTCAGCCCTAGATTGGATTGGGAGTTCAGGTGCTTGTTTGTGAACCAACACTTCTGTTAGCTAGTTCTGAAAGCCTCCCTGCTTAGCACTCAGGTGGCTTGGATCACCCTTTGGAGAGGCTAGACTCTCCCAGTTCACTGTACAGGCAGCCCAAGTATCTAACCCTGTTGATTTGGATCATGCTCCTGAGACAAGGTACTTATTTTTGAGCATTGCAATACCTAAGTGAAGGTATCTATTAGAATGTTTTGCATCTGGGCCTTAAAAAAATAATGGAAATAATGTGTCAGGCAGAAAGTAAACAAGCCTTTTCTAGGGCAGCTCACATAAATTACATGCTGAAACAGAAAGGAAGAAGAAAAAAAATAAAGGTGTGATCATCCATATTTCCTCTTGAGAATATCAAGTCACTAGTATTTCACTTTTCTATGTTAATGAATCAAAGTAGTCAAATTCCAGCTTCCAGGCAAAGCTCAGTTTCTTTAAATATGGAATCATAAATTATGAATTCCTCATAATAATAACAACAGTATTTCAACTTTATCTTTTCTTTCACTACTCACACTGTTCGTCACTCACTACTTTCCATTTATCACAGATTGTGGACCATGCTATGAAAAATGTTGCCAAATAATTTTCACTTTAAATAATAACCCCCAATGAATCAGTCTACATAGGTAACATTATTTACTGAAGTGAGAGGTATGTATGTAGGTTATTCAATTTTGAAGCTAATAGCAGTTTTGTTTTACAGCTTTGAATCTATTTACAGATCTGAAAGAACTCTCCCAGAGCTCCTGGGAGCAAAATTGGACCTTTGTTATAATCCTCAGGGAAGAGGGGTAGACTGTTCATTATGGGTTGTGGGAAATGCTGCTGTTAGAATGAAAATTATAGAATTAGGGAAATAAATGTTTCTTTCTTGTGCTTCTAGGACTGGATATAACTCTAACTACGTCTTATGTAAAAAATGTCCTTGAGGTGTTCAGGTGCTATTATAAGGAAGGACAAGAAAACCACTTGAATCTAAGGCAGTATATACTGCCTCATATTCAGTACTCACCATGTGACTGTAGAAACTGTGGTGACAGTAAAATGCTGGTTGTTTAGTTTGACTCGTCTTCTTGAAGTGCAGGACAGGTTTTTTGCTAGTTTTTTTTTAAATGTCTTATTGTAGTTCCATGTTGGATGACCTCTTCCAGTTTAAACAGATTAGGCCTAAACAAAGGCTAAGCACTGAATTCTATCCAGAATAGAGTATCAAGAGTTAAACAGTAGTATTTCTACTGTTAGTTGTCTTCATGCTTCAAAGTGCATTATACATGCACCATTCAGCAGTGTCAAGTGTCATTTGTACTATCATCACCCACATTTTCTCTTAAAAGGTGAAGGAATTTTTTCCTAGTACATCTATCCTTCTTCTTTTTTTTTTTTAAACTATTTCTTCCTATTTTTTTCTAAATAGTCATATGTAGTAGTTATATGCTATTTCTGAGCATGTTAAGTAGTTAATTAATGCTAATTATTAATTGTCTATCAAACAGATGCAAGGAGGCCCAGAACACACTTTTGATGTTATCGTCATATCATACATGCACATTATGAAAAGGGCTGTCCTTGGTTAATAACAACTGTTTCTGCCACTGAAATCTCTCTGTCATAGTAGGGAAAATACAAAAATGCATATAATCATAAAATATACTCAATCAGAACTGAAGGTCATGCTGTGTGATGTGGCTATAGGCTCTCCTGTACTACTCTTTACTTTTTGTTATGAATAGCACTGGATCTTTTTTAGAAAATACACTATAGTAAAATTATTTTGAGTTGATCTGAAGAGCTTGGTTTTTCAGGGAACTCTCCTAGGGCAGAATTTTATTTCTCTTAGTAGGTAACCAAAGTGCAGTTCTAAGTTATCTGACTAAAGTGCTTGGGTGATTCTGTTACCCACTTTGGGCACATGGGTGCCTCCGTTATTGGAATAGGGAGATATCGCTGCATTTCTGGAAGGCAGTTCTGTTCCTATAGTGGGGGCACATTCATGCCCAGGTAACTCAGAGTTGGTCACAAACTTCACTTTAGTTATCCATTAGGTGAAAGAAGTCTGTCTTTAGTGCTCCCAGACTTAGACACTACATGTTAGTAGCAGTATATAAATACACTTTTTTAAACTTATGATTTTGAATTTTTTATTTTAAGAACTTTTTACTTTCTAGCGTACAATGTATCTTACCTGAAACTGTAACTTTATAAATATTATCTTTTGATAATATGATTTAAGATGAGCAAAAATGTCCTTTTTAAATTAGCATAAAGTTTCTAAAAGTATTTTACTGCTTTTCTTACAGCTATATGAAACTTCTAAAGTACGCCATGGTTTGATGACACTTGGACCCAGTGGCTCTGGGAAAACAACAGTTATAACTATTCTGATGAGGGCAATGACAGAATGTGGGCATCCTCACAGAGAGATGCGTATGAACCCAAAAGCTATTACTGCTCCTCAAATGTTTGGCAAACTAGATACTGCAACTAATGACTGGACTGATGGAATCTTTTCTACACTGTGGAGAAAAACATTGAAAGCTAAAAAGGGTAGGCAAATATATTGTATGTGATATGATCAATAGATCTCATGAATGCTATATTTAAAAAAAGCATCTTGAATTTGCAAATGTAGTAAAATGCTTCCTGTAATATGAAGAAATATAAGTTTAATGATAAAGGTAAGGTACCTTCCTTGAGAGAAGGCTGTAGTTTCCATGTTTCTTACTTCAACATGATAATACCTTATTTAAATATACATCTACATATAGTCTAATCACTTCAGTTTTCCAGTTCAGTTCAGTACAGAGACTATGAAAAATGTTTTGCCGCTGTAAAGTCATATTCAAGATATATATGGATTAGTTTTAGTAACTTTGAAATAATATTTTGCTATGGTCTGAAAAGCTTTTAGTAACTCTTGTATTTAAATAACCCAGGATATGCTGTTGTAAAATTCCTGTTCATAGTAATGTCATAGTTATCTCTAATTTAAACAGTGAAATATTTTGGTATAGGGAAGGAATCTTATTTCCTTATTTATGCATCATGAATATTTTGATAGCTTCAGCTAATGACAGTTCCTTCCCATTGCCTATGAACTGGAAGGTGGAATTTGATTGGTAGAATAGATATTTTTGGGGAGTTTCCTTTTTCTATATAGAAAACTCTTATTTTTCTTTTGATTCTATTTTATTTTGATGGTATTATGATACTTCCCTAGTTGTTATTATTGACTGGAAGTCTGTGAAATTCAAAAATTGTCCATCTTGTGATATAAAAACTTATTTAAATGCATGTAAGATGCTTATTTTCCTTGGAAAAGGCCACATTAATAAGAAAGATGCCATTTATTGGTCATTTTCAGGAAGAATTCAAGTATGAGACTCTCACTTCAAGATATTTTCACTTGAGAAATCCATGTGATTAGCCTGTACCTTGGATTTATCTGGGCAGAAACTTCTGAGAAGAGGTATTTCTAGGAAGGAGAGCTACTACTTGGGAAGACTTATTAGTAGATGCAATGTAATAGTTGCATTTTCATAATCCTGTAGTGATAGAGTTAAGATAAATCACTGTAAATATAAACCTGAATAGAATAGATTTAGTGTTGATGTTTGGTTATATTTATATCACTACAACAGCATGCAGATATAATAAGTGCATTGTAACAGTTTATATCAGTATCATTTGATACCACTAGTCATTATCTCTACCCTCAACCATCCACTGTACCATACTATCAATTCTGAAATCCTTGGTACTAATGAAAATTGTTCATTTATCCCTCATATTGATTTCATTGGTGACTGCAACTCTGATTTCCAGTCACAATGGCACCTATGCTATTCATATTTTTGGGTGCAGACAGATACAAGAATTGTAGCAATATCAATTGAGACTAATATAAGCTATTATGTATCAAATATCAAATTCTAGAGCTATAAGCTGTTATAATGTAACTGTTACATCTACAGCTCCTGTAGTGATACAAATGTAATGACACTGTTTCTTACAGGGTTAAACTTAAGGTGTTGTTACACAATTACAATCAGCACATGCTAAAGGGTGTGTTAAAGTTAGCACTAGCTGTGAGCAGTCACACAGTAAGGGTTAATACCCTCTGTAATGTGCACTGCATTGACCTGCTCCTACAGGACTGGCTAGGAGCCAGAAGCTTTGCTTGCTGGATCTCTAAGATAGTACAGGCTCCAGGATCAGGGCCTCATTAGCCCCCGCCTGGCCTGACCTGGGCCCCCTCACCTGGACCTAGCCCCCTGGCCTCATCAGCTCCCCCTTCTTCCCATCCAGATAGAGACCCACTCACCTACCCTTCCCATGGCTCCTTGGCAGCTCTCTGCTCACTTGTGGCAGCCTCCAGCGGCTGGACTGAGCCTGGAGAGTGGTATTGGTGTCAGGCAGGTGGGTTTCACCCTCCCTGCCTGTCCCTTCCCCACTTGCTGCTGGAACAGTATTGGCAGCACAGGTAATCAGTGGGGACAGATGAGAGGTCCCCAGGGGGCATGAGAGTGGGTGACTCTTGAGGGACAGGGGATAAGCCCTGAAGGACTGGGAGCAGGAGGGGTGAACAGTAAGGGACTAGGGGTGGCTGGGACAGGGAGTAAACCCCAAGGGACCAGGAGGTAGGAGGGCAGAGGGATGAGCTCCAAGGTGCCAGGAGGGTGAGCCCCAAGGGACAGAAGAGGTGTGTGGGGGGGCCCATAATAGGAACAGGAGAGGAGGGAAGAGAACCTGTACAGCACAGAAGGGAAAGAGGAGATTCTTAACTTTAGGACTCCCTGGTTGCCAGCTCTCCCTGCTGTTGCTCAGAGCAGGATAAAATGTCCCCTGGAAGCAATGCCTCCTGAGATTTTGGAGGGCCACTCCCAACTCATATTAACCCTATGGAGTAGTCTGATGTGACTGCAACATGAGCTCCCTAATACCAGTTGAAAATAATCCTTACCTGAAGAGGATTATCTCTCAGACAAGCAGAAGGTAGTTAGTTTATCTTTTCCTACCTCAGAGTGTGAACACTCCTAGTTTAAAAGTCCTTAATACATATGAAAGGTAACATGTAGCAATATCTTTACAGTGATTTTTCTAACTTGCATCCCTGCAGGAGCACACAGACATAATAATTACTTTGTAATAGCTGATGTGCTTTCCTGGGTGTCAGCTCCCCTTTCCTCTTTACAGTGGCTTAAATTTGTGTTTCTCTGTATCTTTTGTGGTTGGTAGCAACTCTCTCAAGATCACACCTGATGGTAATGACTCTTTGGCTGTCTTCAACCACTGTTCCAACTTTGACATTTACAGTTTTCAGTGCCAAGAGTTACTTCAGTGGCTTGAATTTCTTGTCAGCATCAGATCTATCTCTTTTACCCTTCATAAAGCTACTGCCCTACAGTGTCATCTAATGGTATGTACAGAAATGCTCTGTGCACGTTTTACAGCACTATAATTTAAAGCACTTTTTATAATGCTATAAAGATACAGCACTCTTAAATGTGACAGAAGTGCAGAGCACAAAAGTTATTCGAAGCACTATAGGTTACTCAAGTGCTGTAAAATACAGTGCTTCAACTTTAATACCTCATTTAATAAGTGTTAATTTAAAGCTCTGTACCCAGAAAAGCAACTTCTATACACACCTTAAGGCACTATTGACTGGCAACAGAAAAGAACTCATTCCCTGTACATCTACTACTCTACCAGAAAGAGTTTTTCTGTTCCTAGAGGAACATTCTCATACCTCACCAGAATCAGAGGACAAGAGAAAGTCTTCCTCTATGTGGCCTGTTGCTTCCGTACTTTCTAAACCTCCCATAACAGATAGAGATTCCAGACTCCCAACCATAACCAAACAAGGACCAAAGAAAGACTCTTGTTACATACCATGCTGGCTTCTAGCACCCTGTGCTTATTAAATTCCCTGGAATTTTGAGGTACATGAGGAATTCCCCATCACAGAAAACTGGTATCAGCCAGGTGTTCCAGACCAAGGTTACCAACTCCATAGCCTCCAAGAAGTTCATTCTGTTCTCTCCTCAGCTATGTTTGTGAAATCACCATCTGACCAAGATGTTCAGGTGACTGGGTAATCTTCCCATGGTCTTGTACAGTATAACCTCATAAATCCAGATATCAAAAATCCAGAATTATTGAAAATCCAGCACTTTTTAAAACTGCACTCCACTGGGGAGTAGTGGCGGCTGGTCCTGGAGCAGCAGAGGGGGAAGTTTGCATGTGGTGCCTGCTGCCGCCATCTACCATCCCATGTCACTGCTCCACGTGTGGCTGCTGCTCTGGGAATGGCCACCACTATCCTCCCCCTCCTCCTGCCACTCTGGGACCTGTCACAGCTCTGGTTTCAAAAATCTGGAATTTTCACATTTCCAGCAGGTGCTCAGTCCTGAGCATGCCAGGTTCATGATGCTATACTGTATTGTCTTTGTCCCCAAAAGAAGCAGTAGCTCCCAGATATCAACATCTTCAAGACTGAGTCTTGAGGATAGCTTCAGTTCTAGAAATCTCAAGTAAGGATGGTCCAGAGTAGACCAGGTAAGCTTCTGGACATTTTGCACACATTGGTAAAAATGAAGAGAGAAATAAGGAATAAGAGGAGAAGGATGGGAGAAATTTTCTGTCTGCTTTTAATACAAACAAAGAGGTAAGTCAGGGAAATTAAGATGCAATGGTTGATAAAGGAAAACTGAAGGCAGGAGAGCAGACAGGAAGGAGGAAGAAAGTACTAATATTGATTAAAACAATTTTTGGATAGACAATACAGCTAACAGAAAGACTGAATTAAGTATATCTAGGATACTAGTTGTGATGAGTAAAAAATTGAAAATTTGTGTTAATGCAAACAGCCTCAGCAACGAAATGGATGAACTGCGACTACTTTTACATCACTTGTGATGTGAATTGGCTAATGTTAGGTATACCTATAACTAGCAATCATGTCTAAAACTCAGGAACTTAAGTACATGTTAGAATTAGAAAAAATATAAAGGCGGGGTTAACAGCTCATTAAACTAAATTGTGAAAAATAAGAAAAATAACATGAATTAAACAGAATGAGTGTGGGTCAAAATCTCTCAAGGGAAGGATGGTAAAAGAAGTTCTATTGGTGTAGTTCTGGGAGTCTGCTGTAGATCCTAGGGAGTTTTTAACATGGAAAGAGATTTCTTTAATAATATTACAGAAATTTCTGTTTGTGTCAAAATCTGACCTTAAGATCTACAACAGACTCCTAGCACTACACCAGTAGCACTTCTTTTACCATCCTTCCCTATGATGTTAAGTTAGAAGTTAAGCCTAGGAAGTCAGGAAGTGAAGTTAGAGATTTCTCTGATAATATTGCAGAAATATTTTACTTAACTTCCTAGATATAGATTGGTGAACAATACCACTAATAATGGCAAGGTATAAATGTTCATGGCTGTGATAAATGACAGGTTTTGGTTATGTTACTAAATTGTCATTGAATCAAGAGGTAATGATAGTTTAGATGTTGTTTTGTTAAAGTAAGAGTATTATAGAAAAGTCAGCCATGGAAAATGACCTTGAGAATATGAGCTGATTCATTTAAAACTAAATCGAAGAAACTTGGAGAAATTAAGGGACTAGGTCAGGGGTGGGCAAAATGCAGCCCATGGGCCGGATGCAGCCTGCCAAGCCATTCTATCTGGCCCGTGGGGCCCCTAAAAAATTTAGAAAATTAATAGTTATTTGCCCTTGGCTGCCTCTCATGTGGCCCTTGATGGCTTGCCAAAACTCAGTAAGCGGCCCTCCACCCAAAATAATTGCCCACCCCTGGACTAGGTAGTGAATTTGACTGGACTAAAAAACTCAATGACTTTGCTGTGAAGAAATCTTGTATGTTTTTAAGTCAAAAATGCAAAAATTATCTGGATTTTTCATTCCTGTCAAGAGGAAAAAACTTATGAAAGGGCTCCAAACATGTGGATGAGTAACCACCTCAAAACCAATACTGGAGTAGAAATCCTACAAGGAATAGGAAAAAGGACTTACCAGCAAAGATTGCTTTAACTTATCAGTCAGAAAGTGTAGGAATAAAGTGAGTATTGCAAAAATGAGTCTAAGTTACCCTTTAAAAGAAATTAAAGCAAGCAGGGGGACAATGGATATGTATGTCTATAGGATCCCAGGACAAAATACTTTCTCCCAGGAGAAATGCAGCATTTGTTTACATCCTGAGAGACATAAGCTGAAACACCAATGGCATAAGAAGCTGGTCCCTTCGGCCAAAAGGGCTATTCTGTATTGATTTAACAGATGAGAATAGCAAATTAAGAAGTAATGTTAGCAAAATGTGTTTTTATTTATCAGGATTCCATACTTAGATTGGTTGAACATCTGTCTCAAGAATCCAGGAAGGAGTCTAAGCATCATCCGCCCCATGCCTTAGCTATAGCAGCAAAGGCAGATGGCATGGTAGCAACAGCAGGAAGCGCTGGGGCCAGGCACACCAGTCAACACCAGCAGCAGCTGGGGACTTAGAGTGCCCCCTCCCACTCCTGCTCTCCAGTGCTTGGCCACCCTCTTCCTCTCTCCAGAGCATGATTTAGCCAAAAGCTTTATGTCCCCTTTCCTAGTCCTGCTCTGCAAAGCTTTGTTCAGGGTGAAAACTTGCTAGTTGTACTTCCAGAGGTCTGCAGTGTGTTTAACAAAAATAATTTTCAGTGGATCCCATCATAGATTCATAGATGTAGGGTCGGAAGGGACCTAAGCAGATCTTCAAGTCCGACCCCCTGCCCTGGGCAGGAGAGAATACTGGGTTCATATGACCCCATCTAGGTAATTATCAGGCCTCCTTGTAAAGACCCCCAAGGTAGGAGCTAGCACCACTTCCCTTGGAAGTTGGTTCCAGATCCTAGCCACCCTGACTGTGAAGTAGTGTCTTCTAATGTCCAGCCTGAACCTACTCTCAAACAACTTATAGCCATTATTCCTTATTCCTTGTTACTCCGGAAGGTGCTCGGGTCAACGGGGTCTCTCCCATTCCCTGCCAGTCCCCCCGGTAAGTTTTTAACTCATGCATTCAATGATCTTTAATTAAAGTGCCCCCACTGCCATTTTTCAGTGTAGGGACGCTGATGCACATGACGCTCCAGGTGCTTTAATTAGAGTGGCTTTCAGAGCAACTCAGATTAAAACGCAACCCCCCCCCGCCCCCCACAATCCCAGAACATGTGTATAAACACCCTTAGGGCCCTACTAAATGTTCAAATTAAAGCTGGATAGAAACCAACTATAAAGTTGTTATGCATTTCCAAGCACTAACTGTGTAGCTGTTTGACTCTTTTATAGATGGGTAGACATGTTTATGGCATGTTAATTACTTTGCACATGTGGCTGGTCTAAATGTATTGTTCAATTAACATGTTAATTGCATAATATATATAATGCATGGCAGGAGCCTTAGAATGAAACTCTTTGGAATCAATACTAGAAAGAAGATAAAGATGTCTTGTGACAGACGAGGGTACTAGTACTGAGGAAGTAGCGTGCTGTAGGCAATAGCCTACTTTGCTGTCTCTTAACTTTTTAACATACCGTGGCTCTGGCCAATTTCACAGGGTCTCACAGGCAATGTGGATTGCAGACCACTTTACTGAAGGGTATAAATCAGGGCTAGGCAAGCTTTTGGAGCAGTAGACTGGATCAACCCTCCTAGAGTTCGTGGTGGGCCTGTGCTCCCAACCCAGGCTGCTGCTGTTGCTGCTGCTTCTCCCTAAAGCCCAGTCATGGTGTGGGTAAAGCCCCACCTTTTCCTCCCAGCTGCTTGACTGCAGCTTGGGCAAAGCCTGTCCTGCTGCAGCCCAGTATGGACTCTAGCTGCAGTGCTGGCACAGCTTCCTCCCAGCTCTGCAGACTAGATTCTGTGGATGTGGGGGCCATATGTTGCTAATTCCTGATGTAAACTATATATAAATCTTTGGGGTAAATTAGGGCTCAATGATGAGGTATACAGCTGCTACAGTGGAGTACTGTAAAGGTAATACTGTTGGAACATAAGATTCACTATAGATAAATCATTTTTATGTGATGATTTAGGTGTTTAAAGTATCTTCTTTTAAATGATATTTTACACCAAAATGGCTGTACAATACAAAATTGCTTCTTCAATTATTTCCAGGTGAGAATATATTTCTGATTCTAGATGGCCCAGTCGATGCAATTTGGATTGAAAATCTAAATTCTGTTTTGGATGATAATAAGACACTAACTCTGGCTAATGGTGATAGAATTCCTATGGCTCCTACCTGTAAGTTGTTATTTGAGGTTCACAACATTGAGAATGCCTCTCCTGCAACAGTTTCTCGGATGGGCATGGTCTACATCAGTTCCTCTGCCCTCAGCTGGAGACCAATATTACAAGTAAGACTAAGACTGAAGAGTATTACTTACTAGTTTTATTTTGTTGTACGGTGTATAGATTTTTTTTTCTCCCCCACAGGCATGGCTGAAGAAACGCTCTTCACAAGAAGCTGATGTTTTACAAAATTTATATGATAGAATCTTTGAACCAGCATATACATATATGAAGTTAAGCCTTAATCCAAAAGTGGAACTTCTAGAATGTAACTATATTATGCAGGTAATATATTGCCATGCAAATTAGTTTATATTCTTCTATGAATTAATTCTATAGCAAAGTGTGTAGAAACAACAAACAGAACAATCATTTCTATGAATGCTGTTCAGTGTGCAGTAAAACTACATTTCAAAAAAATGTACCCCAACAACTGGATGGCCAGAAATTGGTACTAAGATATACAAGAAAGCCTTTTGTTTTTCCAGTTTGGGTGGAACTGAACTTTTCTTCTATATCTGCTGTCAGTGAAATCTCGAAATTTACTTAAGCAAGGAGTTTTCTGGGTAATATTTTTATTAGACCAACTGCATAGTTGGGATAGAAGGCAAAAGGACCTGAAGAATTCCCTGCATTTAAAAGCTTCTCTAAATCTATACCAGCCATGCAGTTGATCCAATAAAAGATATCATCCACAGAAATTCTTGCCTCACGTATTTCCTGGACCATTATGTCTACAACATCACACCAAAACTAAATCTATTTAAGATGTTTGAAAATTTAAAATCAGCATAGTTCTGTGCCAGTTGTCCTTCAAATCTCTAGCTCTATTTTGTGCATTTTTATTATGATCCCATTTTCCATTCTTTTGAGATGAATGGAAAATTCCACTCTCCCTTTCCAAAAAAATAGGTATAACAGGTTTTTTGACAATCTATCCATTTGTCTTAAGACATTCTGCTGTGATTTGATTTTTTCCCTAAAGGTATATTATTTCTTCAGTTGTTCAGTGGCTACTTTAAATTTGACCAACATATCCTTTTCACAGAAAACATCAAGCTCTGCTATGTTTTCTCCATTATCAAATGTAAATGTTATTTTTGTGGGGATCTGTTAAGGTTATTATAGAAATGTTCTGCTCCTCTTCCTTTTCTCCTTTAAAGTAATAGTGACTCTCTTCCTTATTTATCTTTTATTGGACCTTTCCTCCCGTAACTAAAATCTCCAGCTAGTTGTGTAATCATTTTATAAAGCGTTTCCATGTCTCTCCATTGCAGCCATTTTAACTGCCAGTGCCTGTCTATCAATATATACTCTTTCTATCCTATTTTTCACCTTTATTTTATTCCTATATTCATTTCTTTTTTTACTTACCTTAGGCCTAGAGTAGATTTAATTTCTCCTGCTTGCTTTCTTTACCAACATCCCACGTCATATCTAATCCACATTTTTGTATGTTAATTCAAAGAGCAGCCTCAAGCCTCAGAAATTTTATCCCCTAAGGGAGAGGAAATAGTGGATAGAAAGTTTTGCTTGTTATTCTGTGAAATCAGGAATTTCTGGGTTTTTTGGTTTTGGTTCCCTTCTCTTTCACGGTGGGGGTGGGGTGGGGTGCTTATTGGGCCAATCCCATTAATTGCTGAAAAGCAGCCGCTGCCACAGACAGCCCAGGAAAGCATTTTTTCATGGTGGGAAGCCTCCCAGTTTCCCCTGCAGGAAAATAGCTCCCATTTCTTGCACTCCTCTGGGCCAATGAAGAGCAGTGTAGGGGGAGGCAGGGGGATTCTGCTGCAGCAGCAAGGCTTCCCAATGAGAGGAGTCTTGCATCTGCTGCACAACTGTCTCCTACCATCTTCCTGCCTGTTGGTGGAACAGAAGCCTTGTGGGGATAGTGGGGACACTCCTCCTGAAGCTGCAAGTCTGTCCAAGCCCCAGAAGCCTTGCAGCAGCAGCATAGCTACTTACCCATCCCACTAATCAGCTGGTTGAATAGACAGCCAGGGGTGGGAGGCATTTCTTCTGTTACTGAAGGGATGCACTTGGCAAGGGCTCTTCTGCCATGGTGGAAACCCTCACAGAACTTCAGGAGGGGTCCTGCTGCAGGATAATGCCCCCTCCCCATTTTGGCCAATCAACTGATTGCCAAGGTAGGCAGGGAGGTAGGGGGGTGATATTTTTCTTGGAACCCTACCAGGGCTCCAGGAGTACTCCAGCCCCAGGCACACCTGCCTCCCCACCACTGCACTGCTCTGGGTGTAACTAGAGGAGTGCACCAGGCTGGGGCTCTTCTACCCTGGTAGAAACCCCCTTAAGACTCTGGATGGGTTCCTGCCTTAGGATAATAGTCCCCCCTTTCCTCCTAATCAGTTGATTGTTGAGACAAGGGCAGGGTCCTTATAGGGGACCCTGACAGCTCACTCTGGGGTGGGCTATCATAGAGCCAGTATTCTTCCTCGCTCCACCTTAGAGAAAGGGAGGGAAAGCAGACGATTACGGGATACTGGGTGTCCTCAACACCCAAGAGAATTGTACAGCCATTCCAGTTAGTTCCAGAAATGAGAGAGTGATCTGCCTGGTTGGAAGAGGTAGAAATTTCTTGCAGAAGAGCCATTTTTCTTCTTCAAGAAAGCATTTGAAAGGCTTTTCTCCTGGCACAAATATAATTCCTGTACATGGCATTTGAGAGAGGTGGATCTACCTGCATAGAAAATACTGTGTGTTTCATAGTTTCTAGGGACGGAAGGGACCTTAGCAGATCATCTAGTCCGACCCCCTGCCATGGCAGGAAAGAGTACTGGGGTCAAACGACCCCAGCAAGGTGTTCATCTAACCTCATCTTAAAAACCCCCAGGGTAGGAGCCTGCACCACCTCTCTTGGAAGTTGGTTCCAGACCCTAGCCACCCTGACCATGAAATAGCGCCTCCTGATGTCTAACCTAAACCTACCCTCTGCCAGCTTGTGACCGTTATTCCTGGTCACTCCTGGCGGTGCTCGGGGGAACAGTGACTAACCCCAATGCCTGCTGATCCCCCCGACTAGTGTTCTGAGGCAAGACACTTACTCTTTGACCAAGTGACTATATAGGCTTAAATGTCTAGTAGGAATAAAGAGATTTCTTTTAGTGAATTAATTGCCTACATTCCATTTAAATCTAATTTAGGGCACTTAAAGTTCACATACAATCTGGCCCTTACATTTTCATCGTTTCTGATAGGTGTTAGGCACCTAGGTAAATGGGAAAATCCCAGTAGGTAAGTATATTTATGCACTTAAATATCTTTAAATATTTGGACCATTGATTTCTAGTAAGAACGGGTTCTAAATGGCTAAATTACTTTCGAAAATGAGAGTTGGGTTCCAAAAATCACATAAGCACAAAAAATGTCAGTAGTTTTACTGTGGCTTTACTTATTTTTTGTTATTTTTCCTTGTGTTTATCAACTTAAATTGTTTTTCAGAATCTCTGTTTATGTTTGAATATATTTGAAGGTAAAAAATGGTATAGTGTTTTCTTAATGCTCTTTTTGTTATTATTTTCAGTCTATTCATCTTTTGGAGGGTTTGATTCCCTCAAAGGAAGAAGGCGGTATTTCAACTGTATTCCATCTTCATAAATTGTTCAGCTTTGGGCTGATGTGGAGTTTAGGTGCCCTTCTGGAACTGGATAGCAGAGATAAACTTGAAGCCTTCATTAGAGCTCATGATAATAAATTAGATTTGCCAGAAATCCCTGTAGAAACCAATCAAACAATGTATGAGTTTTATGTTACTGATTATGGTAAGAGAACACACACTGGACTTTTTTTTGGTATTCGGTTATTTTTCTAAATAAATATATAGCTTACAAATAAAAAAAAAAAAGGGCTACATTTCTATACTATCTTGTTTCCTGGTCACCCTTTTCCTTCTTGCCAGTAACCTAGCAATGCACTAGTTTGTTGGGATCTGAATATAATACCTTAGATGATAAATCATTTTTCTAGAGGGATTTTAGGGGAGGGTTTAATATTATTAGTAAAAGTTTTTATCACTTTTCCTTTTATTTCTCATGACCTCTTTCTGTTGAGTGCCCTTGAAAAGTCTGTAAATTAGAGAGAATTTTCATGAATGTTTTTTCAACATTAAATTAATTTTACTTTTATTTGGTACTTTATTTTCAACTTGAAAGTATTTCTTCATGATTATTTTTTCTTGCTATAAACTGTCTCAATTTTCTCTTAATAATATAGTATTATTATTATTTTACTTAATTAGCTCCAACAGCATGGTTTGGAATAGATAATATTGGTTTGGGAAACGTGGTGAAGGGGATGTAACAGCAGGAGTCTGTTACAGACCTTCTAACTAAGAGGAAGATCTTGACTACGTATTCACTAGGGAACTGGCAGAGGCAGCACACTCTCATTGCGTAGTTGCCATGGGTGACTTCAACTACCCTGACATCTCATGGGAAGGGCATTCTGCCAAACTTGATTGGTCGTGAAGCTTCCCCACTTGCACTGACAAACTTGTCTCGAGAAGTCTATGGGCCAACAAGAGGCAAGGTGCTGCTGGATCTGGTACTGGCCAAAGGGGATGATCTAGTGAGTTACCTGAAAATCAAAGAGAAGCTGGGAGACAGTGATCATGAGTTGATCACTTTCTCTATCCATCACAAAGGTGGCAAATCAACCAGAAATGCAGAAATCCTCGACTTTAGGAAAGCCAAATTCCACAAGCTCAGGAGGCTCGTTGCCAAGGCCCTCAGAGGCCATGATCTGACAGAGCGGAGTCTATGATGAGTGGTTGCTCCTTAAGGACACAATCCTTGAAGTACAAGGGGAAGTCCATCCCAGCCTGTAGGAAAGGTAGCTGTGAGAATGAGAGTCACAGGGCTCAAAAGAGCAAGGGCTAAACATAGGGTCAGTGGCCCCAGACCCATAATTCCAGAGGACCTGGCAGAAGCCCTCCTTACCCAGGTGTTTCTGGAGGGGAGGAGCTGGGAACTCCAATGCCAGTATAAAGAGAAGCCCAGAACAGGCAAGATGGGGGAGCGTGGAACCAGAAGGAGGAGGATTGAGCCAAGTCACACTGCAGAGAACCCTGAGAGCAACGTGGAGAGCTGGTAGGAGACTCCTCCAGAGAGTGAGCTCCCCAGAGGGAACTTAGAGAGAGGACTGTTGACCCAGCAGTACTTGGAACTGCTTGTTACCATGCCCGGAGCCAGCAGAGCCCGGCAGAGACAGGTACCGTAAAATCTCTAATAGAGGGGCACTCTGGAAAACTGGTACCTTAAAGACCCTAAAAGGGGTGCAATAAAAATTTGTGTCATGGGTAGACCTGGTGGGATGAGGGGAATCATGACGACCCCAATAAGATGCTTGTAGAGAGCCACCATAGAGACGGTAGCAGAAAAAAAAAAAAGAGGGACTGACCTCACGGACGTCAATTTTGTTTGTTTTCTGCCAAAAGGAGTCAGAACAATAATCCAGGCCAGGACTGCTTGGTTTTGTATTTTGTTTTTTTTTCCTTCTTTGGACGAATGTCACGGGGAAGGACCAAACAGCCGATCAGACACTGGTGGAATGGGTGAGAGTGTAGGGGTGGAGGAACCCTCAGGAATGTAGGACCTCGTGAGACGTCTAATTGAACCTACACATCCAGGTACTGAATCAACTCCCTTAAACACCAAATTGTGGCAGGTGAGAACGTGAGTGTGTGGACCTCTAATTGGAATTTGTCCTTCAAGTCGGCCGGCAGGTGGTGTCCTACGGGCATGCAAGTTAAGGAGGTACCTGACAGTAGCAAAAGGCTTGGGCAACCCCCTTGGCTAAATAGAGAACTCATGGACCTCCTGTATCTTAAAAGAGAAGCCTATAAAGGATGGAAGTCAGGTAACATCACCAAGGAGGAGTATTCAGCACTGGCCCTCACCTGTAGGGAGCAAACTGGGAAAGCCAAGGCAAACTCAAACTGGCTACGGAAATCAAGGACAATAAAAAGTCCTTCTTCAGATACATGGGTAGTCAGAAGAAAAGCAAGAGCAACATCAGACCCTTGCTAAACCAAATGCAGACAACTGATTCCTAGGAAAAAGCTCATCTCCTTAATTTGCAAAAAACTTTGCATCAGTCTTCCGCCAGCCCAAGAGGATCACTCTGCCTAACAAGATGCAGGATTGCCAGGGTATGGGCAAACATATGCCTATCATTGGCAAAGATCTCATGAGGTGATGCTTTGAGAGGTACAAATCAGCTGCCCTGGATGGAATGCACCAAAGAGTGTTAAAGAAACTGGCTGACATCATAGTGCGGCCAGTGCTGAGGATATTTGAGAACTTGTGGCACTCAGGAGAGGTTCATGAAGATTGGAAGATGGCCAATGTATTACCTATCTTCAAGAAAGGGAAGGAGGAAGACCCAGGGAACTATAGGCCAATCAGTTTGACCTCGATCCCTGGTAAGGTTTCGGAAAAAATCGTCAAAGAAACCATTAACAACAGGTTAATGGAAGGCAACATTCTGAGAGAGTGCCAACATGGCTTCATTGCAGGTAGATCTTGCCTGGCCAACCTCATTTCCTTCTATGATCAGGTGATGCATTACCTGGACAAGGGAGAAGAAGTCTATATCATATATCTGCATTCCAAAAAAAAACTTGGGAACTGAGGCCCCGACAACCTTATGGTGTGATGGCTGGGGAACTGGCTCTGTGGTTAGACCCAGAGAGTAATAATCAATGGAACCATATCTGCACGGCACATGGTGACCAGTGATGTCCCCCAGGGCAGTACTTGGACCAGTACTTTTTAATGTTTTTATAAATGATCTGGATTCAGGTATCAGAAGCAGACTGGCTAAGTTCACCAATGACACCAAATTATGGTGAAGTGTGGTCATGCTAGAGCAGGGGTTTTCAACCTTTTTAAATAAATGTACCTTGGCAGCTGGATGTGATACAGTGGCATTACAGGGTGGTGGATGGTGGCAGCAGGAACCACGTGCAAGCTCCCTCTGTATCCAGCTGTCCAGGCAGTACTTGTGCAGCCCACAGAGGGGCGCTGCTGCCCTCGCCACCCCCAACACTGCTCCTGGAAGGCGGCAGTGTGGGGTGGTGGTGCTCCATTCCCACCTGCCCATGCGTACCTCCTAGGGCCTTTCCAAGTACCCCTGGGGGTATGTGTACCCACAGTTGACAACCCCTGCACTAGAGGTCTGGATAGGTTTTCAAGGTGCATGGATCTAAACTTGATGGCATTTAAACACAGAGAAATGCAAAGTGCACCACCTCAGGGGGGAGGGGGGATCCACACCATACTTATAGGCTCAGCAGTGCTACACTCACTAGCACCAAAACCAAAAGAGACTTGGGGGTCACAGTTGACCATGAGATGAACATGAGCCACCAATGTGATGCCGCAGCTGACAATGCAAACAAAACCCTGGCTTGTATCTACTGATGCATCTCAAGCAAGACCCAAGAAGTCATCCTCCCACTTTACTCAGCCTTGGTGAGGCTGCAGCTGGAATGCATCCAGTTCTGGACTCTGCACTTTAGAAAGGATGTGGCGCAGCTTAAGAGAGTCCAGAGAAGAGCCACATGCATAATTGGAGGACAAGAGAGCAGGCCTTATGAGGAGAGGCTGAAAGCAATGGGACTCTACAGCCTGGAGAAGCAAAGGCATAGTGGGGGACTTGGTGGCAGCCTATAAGTATATAAAGGGGTGTACATCAGGAACTGGGAGAACATCTGTTCACCAGGGCACCCAAGGAAAGACAAAGTCACAAACTCCTGGAAGACAATTTTAGGCTGGACATAAGAAGAAACTTCTTTACTGCTGAGTCCCCAGAGCCTGGAATGGACTCCCCCCAGAGGTGGCACAAGCATCTACGCTGAACATGTTTAAGAAACTCTTAGATGCCAATCTTGCTGGGATCATTTGACCCCAACTGATTTCCTGTCCCTTGGGCAGGGGGCTGAACCCAATGATCTTGCGAGGTCCCTTCCAGCCCTAATATGAGATTTCATGAAATCTATGAAAAAGAATACATATAGCCATTTCCACAATATTTTTATAGTTTCAATAAAATGGTCACTTTCACAAAAAATGTATGGTTCTTGGTTGCTTACCCATCTGTATATTCCATAGCTACATCTACTTTCTATGCCCTGAAAATATAAGATTTTTCCAAAAATCATTCTATAAGATTGTATACCCATCTATCTGAGGATTTACAACAAACAGAAAAGCCCAAACAACTAAGTGACTGTCCAACCCCAGTGGCATTCTGCCTTCTTAACAATATAGGAAGAAGCGTCAAAATTTAGCTTCTTAAAAGTGACTCCTTTTTCCATCAGAATTCAGGATACACTAAGAAAGAGTTGATATAGTTCTCCAGTTCCTTTTTCTTTATAATATAAAAGTGGAATAAGTGTGACCCTCCACTTCCTCCTCCTCCCCCAAG